ATCTAAGGATGCTATGGGATTATTGCAATTGTGCTTTCATATTGTTTTTCTGCATCTGGAAACATAGAAAAGTTATAAACTGTAATAAATATGTCCCAATTTATCTGTTCATCTGAATATACGTTCAGTGTGGCAAAATTGTAAGCCCACTTGTCCAGTGTTGACAAAAATTTTTAATGTGGATCACAGCGACCTGTGATGAAGTTCCTCTCCTTAAAGGTCTGTTTTACCCATTTTACCATTCTTCCTCTCCTTCTCACCTCTCCCCTCTTATATATCCTGGAAAATATGCTGTGTTTAATACAAAGCAGAACTGTAGCTATACAAATTGCCCAAAACATGGTAAGATTGTGGTTTCTTCTTTTTTGCAGAGTTTATGCAAGTGTGTCACCTTGGCTTTAGGTATTCACAAGACTTCTGCTCTTAATGCTTATCATTACCAGAGAGTGAGAAGACCTTTGTGCAGTCAAGCCTCTTTTTAAAAAACATGGGAAAGTGGCTGGAAAGCCTGTTTGTAACAGTGAACAAGTTATAAATAGTATTATAACTTACAGAATCACACTCTGAACAGAAATTATTTGATTTTATTCATTACACTATTATATTACATTGACTCTGGTTTCCATGTACCAAAAATGTATATTATATCCTTATTTTATCATAAGGTTCTTAGACACAGAGATCAATTAACATATGTCAGGGGTAATTATTATATTCTAAATGTGCCTGGATGACTGACAGCACCTATTCATGTGGAAGGGACAGAGCATCCAAATTTAGGTCTCTTGAAGGAATTGTGTCCTCTCAGATGATGACTATGAAGCAATGGAAAGTACACTCTTTCTCTCCAGTTTCTTGAGTTTAATACTTATTTTAATTACTGAATAAATCTTCATACATTTTGAACATGAAAAAAACGTAGAATTGCTGTCTTTTAAGAAGTACACATTCATTAAAAAGAAAGCTAGAAAACCATCTTTAGAGGCACTCCTTCTATAAGAAAGAGACAAAAAGAAATAATTTATCCTCCCCCCTGCAAACTATACCTTAACAACACAATTCTATAACGAAAGTGAAAATAAATTTTAGTCCTTTCTCCTAATTGATGCCATATTGCCAGGTAATTGCCATCCTTTTTACTTGTGTGCCTAGGACATTGCGCTCATGTTCTGTGCTGTGAAAGAAAATCCAGTAAAATTCTATTTTGCAGTGTTGAAAGCAGTTCTTCTTGTTTCAAGGAAAATAATAAATTTTGTCAACAATTAAAACTAAGTGCACCCAAGTACAAGACACACTAAGTAAAATGGTACAGTTGTAAGCCTCTTAATTTTCTGCCCAAAGCACCCCGAGTAAAAGCATCTCTAGAATCTACCATGTAGCATATGGGTAAAGGAAGAACATACTGACTTCTTGCTATTGATGTGTCTCATCATTCTATAGTTTGGCACATCTTTATTCCCTGTACTAATGTTGTGACTGAACATATGAAATATACCTTATCATATCAGTATTTCCTTGATGTTAACAATGTCAGTCAATGATATTGTAAAATAGGGAACTGAGAACTGCTAAGTTTAACTCTCTTTTGGCTGGCCAAGAATGAAAGAGGGATTTAACATTTTGTTTATTGCTTGTTCATCATTAAGGCTACATGATGTGTTTGGGTGGCCTAGTTCTCATTCCCATAATTAAAAGAATTCCTGAGTGCAGGAATACTTCTGGGAAAGCAAAAGAATAAAAGAATTAGATCAGTGGAGGAGATCTGATTTATGTGAACTATTGTCTCACACATATTTTGTCTGCAATCCTCTTAATTTAGGAAGATCTATATCTCAAATGCATAAGAATTTTTGTGGAAAGTGCTTTAGATTCAGGCTCACTATGGATTTAATTTCACTAAACAGTTCACTACCCTCCAAATGTCTTTGGACTTGAAGTAGTCTGTTGGTGTCCATCAAGTTTGTAGAGTCTACTAAGTGGTTAAACCTAACTTTCTAAAAATGACCATGTCAAGTGCGATAGTATGACCAATTTAAAAGTCTTTGGAAAGTTCTATATTTCTTCTTTAGAGAATATAAAGTTATTTTTCACCTGTGTGAGTTCTCTTGACTGAGTCCTCATGCAAATGAACGCCAACTAGTAGATATACTTCTGTAATTTCAGGGTAACATGATAAATAGGGGTGAGAAATTTCTAAAGCAGTTTGCATTATGGGTCACAGGCCTGTAGTGTTATGCTCTTCTTGTGCATTCTGGCAGCATTTGCTATCTAAGGAAGTCTGCATCACCTAATGGCAGAATTAGCTGGAGCAGTATGGCAGGATGTGATTATATACTGTAGCTGGAGAATCATCATGAATACAACCCTGGACCTATACCTAACAGTAGGCCCAGCAACTATACACCTCAGTGATGTATGCTTGAGCAGGAGGAAGGTGTGCTGTGGATCTTTGGAGAGATCATGCTCCAGCAGGCTGTGTGCCCTACAGCAGGATCTGGCTGTATATGGGGAGAACATTTAGTTGGGAGTCTGTCTTAAAAAATACACAAATCAGTATACCAAAGGAAATCTTGTATACTGTCAGTTGTCATCTACTTCCAGTAAGAAATGAGAAAGCAGAGCTACATGCCAAATCTTATGGTCTTCTTCTGTGTTTGCCTTTCACGCTGTGCGGGTAGAAATAGATAACCTTAATACGTAGTTTGTCTAGTCTCAACCTGCTCTGTATTTCAAATGGTGAATGAAGAACTTTGTTACAGGCAAATTCTGGAGTAGATAAAGCAAAACAAGCAAAGATTAAAGGGAAACCAGGCAGAGGATTTTACGTTACAGGGCTGAGGAGCTAATGTAGACATGCAGCTGGAGTGGTGGGCTGGGTACTGTGTGCATGACCAGCGCTTCCAGTGTTGTTTCACCCTTCTTAAAACGACTGGCATGGCTGAAGAAATTGTGTAGAGTACTTTCATCTTTATTTTTGATTGTTATAACTTTCTTCTTTTGGATAATCTAAAATTAAATACTCTGTGGATTCAGATACAAAAGCTCAAAGTGTAAATCAGTCCTAGCTGTGCATGTAAAAGAAACCTCCTTGTAAACCAAATGTCCCACTGCCACAAAGTAGCACTGTGGTACTGGCCACTTGCTGTGGGATGTTTGGTCTGCTAACAGACTGGAGCAGGATGGGGAATACGTGGGGACTTATTGGAATACATTCGAAGAGTAATGATTTATGAAGACTTGCAATAAATAATAAATGCCCAAGGTGATATTCTTTCTAATGAACATTTTAATGGTTTCTTTTCCCCAGTAGGGGACTCTCAGACTTCTTAATAGAGGCACAGAATGAACTCTTTGTGCCGCGGCTGTCTCTCTCCATCACTTTTTGTTTTCTTCTCGCCTGTCCCTTATTGCTGTCTGCCACTGCTTCACTCTGACTCCAGCTGTGAGGGCAAAGTTTACAGTGTCTTCAAAACCTGCTGTTTGTTTTCTTTAGTTGGGGTAAAGCTTGATGAGGCACAAAGCAAAGTGCCTCCCTGGCCTACTGGAATGCTCCGGGCAGCAGGGAGAACATTTCTGCAACTCAGCCTGCTCCCTACACCAAGTGTGAACTGGGAACAGAAGAACCAAGACTGCTTCTGCAGTAAGACACTATTACAGACTGTCCTGGTGGCATGATGAAGAATTGCTGGATAATTTTTTTTAAACTATCATCCAAGGCAAACTTCAGGCATTTTTACATGGAAGCAATATATCCCCTGGACATCCATACTCTCTACACAGCTCATCTTTGTCTATAGATTTTGCTAGATGCAAGTTTCTTTCCTTTTTTGACATTTTCTTCCTAAAATTTGCAGATGCACCCTGCATGATAGAAAACAACTTCATGTTCTGCTTTGCTGCTCTACCAAATTCTGTAATACCGGAAAATATGAATAGTAGTTGTCTATCAAAGTGCTTTGTATTAAAATTCAGTCCTGCCAGGAGATTATGCCTGGCCACCTTTAAATGGTTAAGAACTGTATTTTTAACTGGAGTTAGAATATTTCCTAAAGGAACCTACAGTCTGGGATGGAGTCCAGATGTACATTTGAGATGGCTAAAATGGAAAGTCCTGATTTTTTATTAGGCATGCCATTCAGAGTGCAAAATGAAGTGTGAGCAAAGAAAGCATGTTGGCATGGCAACAGCAAGTATAATTTAATGCAACAGGTTTTGATTCTGACCTGAGAAAGGAACTATTTGTCCTGAGAGTCAGCTTGTTGCCCATAAAAGTTTTAAGACAGCAACTCGTCTTCACTAAAGGCCAGAAACTGGAGAAATGGATACCTCAGAGTTCTTTGGCCAACAAAAGAATCTAATTATTCTAATGGTTATTGTTCTGGCATAGAGTGCAAAAAGGAATTGATTCAATAATGCCTCTGTTGCTCACATGATGACCACCTGCAGGCAAACTCTTAAGTACAGGGTCTCTCTGTTATTTTTAGTAAGGTATGTGATGTTTGTAGAACTGTAAGACATAATGAGACCAAGTACTTTGCAGAAAAATGTACATGGCATCAATTAGCAAGACTAAAATTTAGGGTTTAGAAATTTCTCTCTCCCAAATTGATGATGAATCCACAATTATACCCCCACTAATTGTTACAACTATTCAACCGAAGAGACTGAGAGAAGAAATGAGTATGGGAAAGCAAGCTGTTTTCTAGATCAGTTTATTAAGGCTGGAACTAATGGCCGATAGCTTAAACTGCACATCTGATGCCAGGTATTTGGTTTTGAAGGACGTGTTCATTTTCCTTTCAAGATTAGCTGCTCTGGATTCCTGAAAGTGGAGCTGGCTGCACAAGCCACATTCAAAACATTTGACTCTCTAATTCCATCTGCTGCCACCTCATCTGTCTCCATGGGAAGAAGCAAATTTACAGGAGCAAAAGGAGAAAAGGAGAAATGAACCACTTTCCTTTTTTTTTTTTTTTTTTTTTTTTTTTTTTGATTTACAGGAAGAAATAAGAAGCACGACAAATCTTAAGAGTAACTTTGATCTTCCAGGATTTGCAGTTCACCTTCTGGACTAAAGTGCTTGAAGAAGTTTGGCTAATGGTAAATTATAATAATCCAGAATGAACAAAAGATTCTAGACGTGACTCAGAGACTTACCACAAGAGGACTTGGATCACCCCACTGGAAGGCGGGCAAAAAGCGTAAGCATCTGAGTGCACTTTGTGACCTGAGGATCCTTGTATTTTCACCTCACTGTTTGCAAGTGTCTCCACAGAACAGTGGGCAAAGAGATTTGTGCTTATAAACTGCATGTGCACTAATGGCAATAAACTCTTCTACTGTGTAGATGCCTGTGAAGTAAAGCTTTTCCAGTCTTCTGACACACCATGCCATGCTCTCACCATAGTTAAATTTGAAGCTCAAGGTATATGCAGAAACCAAAGTGTAGCCTCCTTGTTGCACCATAATTCATTGTTGTTCAAAACTTGTATGAGTCATTCACATCTCTTTCTGTAGTTAAAAAAAAAATATAAAAAATCATTGTGAAACACACAAATCTTGTGTTTGGTGCATTTCTGTCACTGTGATGTCTGGCTGTATTTGGAATATACATCCTAGTTAATATAGGTCTACCCTGGCCTACATTAACAGTCCCTTTGTCTATATATTTAATATTTTAATTCATTTAAAAAGAAAGGTGCTTAACATACTCCAATGCAACTGAAAGTTTACAACAGAGGTACACTTAAAATGCATATTTTTTGGTTCATAGCCTGTTGAGAGAAGGAAGAACATGAGGTGGGACTGCAAGCTGTGAATTTCAGTGTCTTTTGGTGCAGCATGGGTCAAGTGCATGTCATGACCTGAAGTCCACTGTAGCCCTCTTATGTGTTTCTTCCTTTTCTGCTCTTGGTGGACCTTTTGAAATTTTCGTTTGTTAATGAAATTTTTTTTTCAGAAGCATGCATATGTGAAATTTTGTGGTTTAATAATGTCACCTAGATCCTCTCCCACGGACTGCTGAAATCAGCGCAAAGGCCGCATTTCATCTGTCTCTTGGAAAGTTCTTTGCAGTTCTGATATTTTCTGATTGCTGCATTATTTCTTGTTAGAAGTATTTGGAATATAGCAGAAACCAGTGGTACCTACACTGGGGAAAAATATTGTCAATCACATGCACTGTAAATTGCTGCCCACTTAAAATACAGCAGATAGACACTACCCTTGGCTTCATCACAGTGGGATGCAGCACAGGAATGCAGTGGCTTAACAATGAACAATGAAAACACTGAAAGGATAATACTTTTTCCTTCTATTTAAAGCATACCATGTAGCACTTCCTTTGAAGGAACTGAGAATTAATTATCATCATACCACCATTTCCTCAGAGTGACTAGATTAACAACAGGTTATGGGAGTCCAGAGCTGGGGAATTTAAGACTTGTTACCATTTATAGTTTCTCTCTGTCCTATAATATGCTTTCCCATTAGCTAAAAGTGCCATTTCAGGAAATGGCCTTCAAGGGTAAGTTTGATGTGGGGTTGGGGAGAATGAAGAAAGCAGTTGCCCTATTCCACTATAGCTGTAGACAATTAGTATGAAACAGGTATGCGATTTTCTTACCTGCCAGTTCTTTTTCATTTATTGTTCAATAGGATGGCATCTTCAGGAAGTTCATGCAGGGCACTTCGTCTCATCATTTCATTGTTAGTAATGAGGTAAAAAGAGTGAAGGGATGGTAATAAATCACCTGGTTGCAATATTCCAGATTTGCTAGTTGCTAAATTTTATTAGACAAAGACTGGAAAATTAGCTTTATTAATATTGATTAATCATAGCTAAATGGAAAGACATTTGCCTCTTATCCTTAAGACTGGTAATTGTCCTTAGATCATTTTCCTTTTGTGCCATTACTGTTCCTGACAGGACAACTCCTCCTGCTCTGAAATGGAACAGTTGACAGTCCTGAAGGCCATGTGTAACTTGAACATTTCTTAAAGACCTCAGTAGTTTTGATTTGTGGTTTGAGAGATTCACTGTCTCCTGTTTCATATTTATTGAATTTAGAAATTCATACATGCCCAGTAAAACAGTCACACAGGTGAACATGTTTGGTCTCAGACTCCAGCCTCAAGTATATTTTCTCTTACTCTTTTTTTTTAAAAACAAAAACAAAAACAAAACCAAACCACTTTTCCCACTCCTGCAAATTCAGGAAGAAAAGGTTAGATTTTTTACATAAAGTATTATAATTTTAATCCTCAATGAATGTGATTACTGGAGGAAAGAAATCTAACATTTGACACTCTGGATAGATTTGCAAGGAGAGAACCCTATAAATATCTAATTCCTTGCAGAGACATCATAAAGTAACACCAGAAGTGAAAGGCCAGCAAAGCCCTCATGTGCTATGTATGAAAGCCAAGATTATTTTTTAACTGACCCATTTAATGTAAATCTGGAATAATTCTATTTAAAATGAGATTACCTGAGAGAAAATTTGTCCATAAACAACTTGTGAAATTCTACTTTCCAACTTTTTTTAGCATACTGTCAAAAGTGAAGATGTTCTTCCAGCAATAAATTTTGCTCAGAAAATTTCAGAATTGATTCTTGGAAAAACTGATCAACAAATTGATTTCTATTCTCATGTGACTCATTACAAACAGTTTATTTTTATGGTTTTGGTTTTTTTTTTTCCCCTATTAATGCAGACAAATCCACACACCTAGACATAGAGTGACTACAGTGGCTGTTAGGATTAATGGGGGATTTGTTTTAATTGTTTTGTGCAGAGTTGAAGCAAGAGTCATTTGTTTTGGTAAAATATGCATTTGTTGTTGGTTTTGTTTTGTTGGTGTTTTTTGTTTTGTGGGTTTTTTTTTTTTTGCATAAAGTCTAATAATTCAACATCTTTATTTTCAAGGGTAATTCTGTTGGAATCTTACATCTGAATGCCTCCTGGTCTTCCACATGACTTGACTTCAGATAAAAAGTAGATCATCTATTTTAGTCGTAAATCTGGTCAGGGATGTTGCCTCACTTCATTTTTAACTGGATTTTAATTTGACAGATATGTATTTAGATAGCCTATATCATCTGACTAATGCACAAAAGAGACCATGTATCTTCTGCACATTTATGCACATCTACAGATAGTGATGGTTCTTCAGAAGATATCGATATGAAAATTATGACAACAGATTTTTTTATAATCAAAACAGGGCATGACTGGAGCAAATCAAGAATGCTTCAAAGACTGTGTGCCAGACCTCCTTGACAAGAGCAGGTGGTTGAAGAGTCAACAACATGACATAAGTGCTTTGAGTGTGATTCGAATGAACATAATTGATTTGCTACCACATGATATCCATATACTTTGTGGGGGCCTTTATTCCAATGAATGCTGCATTGAGACATAAATCAGCATAGGGGGATGTTTCTACTAGTGCTGATCAATGAGATACATCATTTATGTGTGAGATGCATGCTTCTATACTTACTCAAGACCTCTTACAGATGCTTCCCTCTTTAACAGTGAATATTTGAAGAATAAGTTTTGATGAAAAAAAAATCAAAGATCCTTATGACTTTTGCATAAAATTAATTTGCATGATATTGTGTGCTGTTACTTAGTTGCATACTCAATAACAAAATCACCAAAATCTCTCAGAAAAAATTGTGCAATGAATGTTCTAAACATTCATAAACAACTAGAACACAGCATGGAGAGAGGGAATAGCTAATAATTTATCAAGGGCAAATTACAACAACGCAAACTAACTTCCTGGTGTGATGTGGTAACAGGTCCACAGATACAGGGAACAGACTGAGTCTCCTGCTCCTATGTTACTTACTTATGTGACTATGTTACTCTTGAATGATATTCTCATCAGAAAGCTAAGGAAACATAATCTTGAGAGTAAATGCAAAGCTGAATGAAAAGTGAAACTCAGACAATAATTACCTAATTTTATTGTGTAATTGAAATACACTGAGAAGGTTCCACAGGGAGTTGTTCTTGATTAAATACTGTTAAATATTCTCATGAATGATCTGAATGAGGGAATAATATTATATACACTAAATTTGCATATGACAGGAGAAGGGGGGATTCTGAACATGTGGAAAGCAGAATTAGAATCCCAAATGATCTTGAAAAATTGGAGAGATCATCTGAAAAAAATAGGATTAAGTTCAATAGAGACAAATGCAAAGTGTTAGGCAGAAATAATCAATTGCACAAATACAGGGTGGGGTAACACAATAGACAGCAGTTCTCTGGAAAAGATCTGAGAATGAAAGTAAATCAAGTTAAACGTGAGTTGCTGAATTATTAAAAAGCTAAGTGACCAGCTAGTATATATATATGAAAACCAGAATGCAGCCTGCAGAAGTAATCTAGTGTTTTATACTGGTAAAGACTCAGTTTGGAGCACTGTATCCAAAGAGAACTTGAAAAAATTGGATTCTTAAGCACTCAAGAAGAACAAGGAAAGGTCAAGGCAATAATTAAGATGTAAAAAACCCCCACTGTTGTAAAGAGGAAAAGAATAATATGGCCTTTTAGTTCAAGGGAGACATAATAAGAAACAACAAGCTAAATTACACCAGGGAAGAGTCAGAGCAGTTATTAGGAAAATCTTTCTAAACATAAACATAGTGAAGCCTGGGGAGGTGGTGAAGTCACCATCATTAAGAACATACATTTGTCCCAAGTGACATGATTATTGATTCTGCCTTCAGGACAAACCAGATGACCTTTTAAAGTTCTTTCCAGGTCTATTTCCTATAATTTTATATCAAGGCAGGAATAGGTTTTGCAACTCTATGTATCTTGAATAGCACCTAATTCCATGAGGAGATTTATTGAGTCACAGGAAAAATTCTTAGTCGACAAAAGCAATACTTATCCATATACAAGAATTAGATTTGGTGAAGTTATTGCTTAACATTCTTGCCACATGAATTCTTTGTTAAAGTTGTATTGACTTATACCTGGAAGTATTTTAAGATCAATATCTCAGGTTAGTACAAGTATAATAAAATAAATTGTGAAGTGATTTGATCTACTTAGGAAATAAGGGTGAGTATTCAGTAAAATGAGTTCTTACTCAGTTCCCCACGACAGTTTTGGGAAAAGAAAGGTGACTGACTCATGCTGCCCTTATGAATATTTCTGCTGTTTGGGGCTGCCCCTGTCTCAGGAGCTCGTGGCTGTAAAAGACCTACACAGAGCACTGTGTGCTTTGGTTCTGTGCACTGTGTTCATGGCCTGAACCTCAACATCGTTCCCAGCAGAATGGGAGAAATGAGTTGCATAAAGCCAGTGCGCTGACTTTTTATCACCTGGGCTTTGTCTTCACTTATTTCTCCAGGGTACTTTTTTCTTTTGTGCAATGCATATGGAGTGACCAAGGGGCCATGTAGCAACTTCATTCCTGTGTCTATCTAAAGTTCTCTCTTGATAGGAACTTGATGTTCTGAAGCATTATCTGACCTCTGCTCTTAGTCCATTGTTTGTTTACACTGGTGATGAAATGCTTAAAGGATATAGTGATGCAGAAATATTTGCCCTGTCCAAATATATATGTGTGTGTGTTTTTCTGAATATTTAGGGAAGCTTGTGAAACTCTTCATACCTTTCTGCTCCTTGAATCCTGTGATAACTCTTTTGTATTCTGTTTCCTTCCAGCTTTATGTACCACATGGTACCAAATTACTGCAGCAGAGATTGGGAAACTTCTCTTTAGCGGGTCTGGTTTATGGTTATGCTAAAAATAGAGGTGAAATGTGTAACTCATTTCAAGAACAATTTCTTCACTGAGATCACAGGATCATTTAAAGCTGTCCAAACACTTAGGGTAAGTGTCCAGATAGTCTGGATTTTTTTTTTTTTTTTCAGGAAATTTGGAAGTGGTACAGCTTACTCACTGTAGATGATTCATGTCTTTATGTCCTAGTTTGAAGTGGTTCACCACACCGTGGTCACAACTCCAGAAGTGTTGGATGATCATCAGACATCACTCCTGCCTGTAAGACTGATTGATTTTTCCAGCTTTCTAGAGTTTTCATAACTTACTAACCTCTCCCCCCAAACCCAAATTATGTAGGTTCAAGAACACGCATTAGGAAACTGTTTACGAAATAATTAATATACTAAATTCCCCAACAGACAGAGCTCTTAAAGCCAGAGCTCTGGGGACTCAAATGCAGAGATACTGCCCTTCTCATGGACTCTTAAAGCACTTTTCCATGTTCCCTTGCAAAGGTTTTATCTTTTCCAGTTTTAAATCTTTTTGTCTAGACAACAGTAAGTAACTGGCATACCTTTCAGTCAAGAATGGTATGGTTAAGTCTTTCAGATAAATATAGCTGGATATTTAAATACAAAAATAAATGTCTAAAGCTCTACTTATTAGTAGCATCTGTCTCGTGCTTGATGTGTACTTCTCAGAAATATTCTAATACCTACAGAGGCTATATTTAAGCAACCTTGGTTCTGCTTTGGTGATCACATGTCATGTGCTGCCTATATTGTTGATTTTGTTGCTAAGCCCCGCTGTGAGTTCTAGTTTCCAGTGTTTCAGGTTACATGTTTAAACCTGGCCTTCCAACTGTTTCACACTATCCTGCGTGTTCCCATCTACTAAAGCTGATACTCCAGAGGCCCTCTCTTTCCCCACTGGCCCACATTGGCATGAAAAATTGAGTGGAAGGAGGAGTTAGGATTACAGATTTTTTGTTTACAATAGTTAACTATGCACTTTGGAAATGTCACTAAGAGGAAGCCTTAGGAAGCACGTATTGGGTGTATATGGTTAGCAGATCGGCCTCTGCTACCTTCCCCCTTTCTGGGAGAATTGCAGCCGTTAAGGAGCAAAACCCAGGAAATATGATGAACCTCGCAAACATCAAAGCTGAGAAAGTAAAGAAGACTAGAGAGAAAAAAGTCTAAAACTCTTTCGCGTAAGCCTTCAATTTGCCATTTTTCATTAGGACAGATAAAGAAAAATTTGATCTTATGGACACTTCTTTGGGGGATTATATTTAGTCCCACTTGCGTTACTGGAAGAGAGCTCCCTGTACACCTGTGAGGTTTCAAGTAACTTACAATGTAAAGCGTCAGTGACTTCCAGTGGGACTTGGGCTATCCCAGTTAAATTCTGTGCATGACGACATATCAATCAGCATGATAGGGCTTCATTTCTGCAAGTAGAAACCCCTCATGCACTGTGTTATGGAAATTGTTCCTCTGTGCCAAGAAACTTTATGTTACTCCATCAGGCACAACTCCATTCCTCTGACTCTTTCTGAATATTTTCTGTATGCAGCTATGGTTAGTTTGTATTTCTTCAGTGAAATAACTCTAGAGTCTGTATAAATGTTTTGATGCATTGTAAATCTTTGGGGCAACATGTTATTATTCCTTTGATTAGAGCAGCCACCGTTTGTTTTTATATTTAGAGCAAAGAAATGCAAACATCCTTACCATCAAGAAGGCTAGGTGGGGTAGTACTGAAGGTAGGTTGTTTTTAATCTCTGTACTGACTGTATTGTAAGTTTGTGTTTGCGTGTGCCTATTTTGCCCTCTAGTCCAGCAGAAGCTGCTGTTTTTCAGGATGAAATAAAAAATGTTTTCTGAAGAGTTGCTTTGGGGGGGGTGAAGGGCAGAGGAGAGAAAAAATCCAAGCTGAACAAATCCATATGCTGTGGTTGACTTCACCTTCGAAAAGTTTCTTGGATTTTCATACCCTACACCGGTTCATTGATCTACATGCCAAAAAGAGCTGGTTGGTTTTGATTTACAGATTCTACATTGTTTAGGAGATTATAGTCTAATTCTCCTTCTGCTGTGACTAGTCAGGGCATGAACTGCAGTCATAATGATAGGCACTCTGTTTCTGGATTTTAGCATGCCAGGCAAGGAAGTCACTTCAAAGGAAAGCTGAAACACGTGATGAAGTTGTTGGGGAGAGAGCACTAGGAGGAGGATATTAGATTGAGCTTGGCATATTAAGCACTAGTATATATATCAATGAATTTAGGTACCACTAAAAAGGATAATACAGGGTAAAAATGATATCTGGCTTTTATTAATAGATTTGGTGTGAAATAGCAAATGTAAGAAAAAAGTGACTTGGAAAAGGGATCCATTATAATGGGAAAATATTTTGTTGTCGATGGTTGTGCGTAGTATTTGTACTGGAGTTGTGTTCAGGGTCTGCTTTGAGATGAGAGCGCAGGGAGGAGCCACACTGCACTTTTCACTCTGCATGTGCCTAATAAAAGATTCCCTGTCTTCAGTGGTTCACAGCTCCCACAGGGGTGGGATAAAGGGAGTTCCTGCTTACAGAGAGCATCAAGGGCAGGAGCTTAAACTGAAAGACTTCAAAAATGTCCTTGAAACTACTTGCTAAAATGTAGTTTACGAATGTGTAAAGCTGTGTCAGGCATTTTGGTTTCATTCAGATTTTTCTGTTTCTTTTTCTCTTTTCTCCCCCGTCTCCTCAAAGCTGGTCTGAGACACTAAAAGACACTATAGTGTAGACCTTTGTATTTTAATGGCATTTGTCTCTTTCTAATCTCTTACCTTCAGCCCACTTTATATGCTATTACAGCACAGATGATGTACAAGAAGCCCTTGATTAGGATTCTGGATATTTCTTTGTAAAAGACAACTTATTTGCAATATTTTGCCTCTTTGTAGCCAAACATGTTTCTCTTTTCTTTGATATTTTAAATTATTTCCTTAATGATTTCTGAGACTAATTTTTGTGTTGTTGCTTGCTCAAGAATAGTCTATTGTTTGGTCTAATGACAAAATTTGACCACATTAGGCTTGCTAGTACTTGCTTCTATCTCAAATAGACGAGTGTCATTGTGAGGGCTGAGTTTCTGACACAATATTTACAATTATACACCCAAAAGTTGCTCTCTGTGCATTTTCTTCAATAGTCAATTCAGATTCTTTGTCCTGGTTTCAGTCAGTAAATTTGCTCATTAGGGCGTTTTTATGTAACCACTTTTTGATCAAGACATCTGTGGAAAAGTGACAGTGAAAAAGTGATAAATAAGGGAAAGGTTACCAAACATTAAATTATTTCAATTTGTAAAGCATTAAAGCTGTCCTAGGTATAAAATAAATTAGATCTTGATTCACTAGTTCATCTTCATTCTGGAAACATGAACTAGTTTGGGGACTACACAGAGATTTTAATTTAGGTGTGTGTCTCTGCCCCGTTGAATCAGCCCAGTGTTATTTTGCTCACTTGGAGATCAGCTTCCTCTAATAGATGGAGGCCAAGTTTGTTTTATAACTTGAATATTAATGTATATCAAGAAGCCAGATTTCTTAGGGGAAGCTTGATTTAATCTGAAAGCCAAAACACTTCCAACTGGATATGCTTACATCCCAGCTGCACACACACATATTCTTTACTCCCTGGCAGTGAAGAATATGTGGTGAAGCAAAGATTTCTCTGATGTCGACCATGTAGAGCCTCTTTTTTCTTCCTCTCCTTCTCTCCCCTATCCTTCAGCTTTGGATTCAGGGCTCAGAGAAGTAAAGTTTGGGCATTGCATTACAATGTTGTCACTATTTTGGAAAGGAAAATGCTGGCTGAAAATATGAAACCTTTTTTTTCTCCCATGTTGCACAGTAAGTATCCCCACAAGTGAAAATATATGGATGCAACAGTGGTGCCAAATTAAGTGCTATCAAAAGCATGGTAGGTTTAAAATTGTAGAGGTATGTGGAAGACCATTTAATCTTTTACCTGCTGTATGTGATATAATAACATTGATATATGTTGAGGAGCCATTTGGGATTTTATATCTCAAACAGAGTGTCTGTATATTTTGAAATTTAATTCTTGTGAAATATTTGACATCCTGAATGGGATAATTGACACAGGGACACTAATTAGGGAGTTGTAATTCAGAAGGTTCTGATCATGTACTTTATACTGACATGTATATTGTCCCCCTGGTAACAGTGTTAATGGTGCTTAGACATGTGCATCAGGAAAAGAGAGCGTACCCCTGGGAGCTCTGGAAATCAATCTCCTATGTAATGCCATTTTATAATGCTCTAGAAGGAATGGATTTACACATTTTTCCATTTATTAAGCTGATCATACATAAAATATTCTGGCTTTGGAATAGTTTGACTCAGCTGGTGTTTTCATTCTTAAAAATCTGCAGTGAATAATATCTTCCCCTGAAACTGAGCTTTTCACCTAAAGTACTTCGCAGTTCTCAGTCTTCACTTGAAACCTTGGGTAAATCTATTATATTCAGCTGAACTGAGTCTTGTTTACCTTATGCAGGGATTATTTCATCAACTCCTGAAATGTAAAACCTGTGGCAAGGGAGAAAAGGCAGTCTTGTGACTGTGGCTCTGACCTAAAGGACGTGCTCTCTCCAAGTATGATTTCATTCAGGTAGTGAGAGCAAGAGCTGCATTAAAAAACAAAAAGATTGGCCTTAAGCAGACAGATGAGTTCAGTTTTTTCCCTCTTTTCCTCCTGGCTTTGTGATCATACTACACACATAATCAGACTGTCTGCCTGCCCCAAACAGAGCATTCTTTTATGGCATTTCAACAAATCCGAGAGCTCCTGGACTCTGTTTCCTTGTCTGTACCAGATTTTTTTAAACTTTCTGCATAATCATAAGGCTTAAGTGAGGAAATACTTTTAAAGTGCTCATGTGCTACATGGTAAGTGAATACAGAGAATTATTAGCTAATACTGCTTAAGGTGCAGTACTCTACCACTGAAGAAGACAGATAAACAAAGAACAGGCTAAAATCCAGTTAAAATTGCTGGAGTCTGGCAAAATGTAGTTACCAAATTTAAAACCACCTGGGGGATATTGATCTAATTCTTGAAAAATGTGTAGAGGGATTTTTAACTTTTTAAAAATTAAACATTTTTTACGTCTCCTTGTATGCAACTTATCCAGAAGCTGGTTCTTCCTGCAGTACAGTGTATCCTCTGATGCTCATGTTTGGACATTGCTTCAACAATAACTTGGAGTTCCAGCTATTGTTTCACTACTACCCGTTCCTGCCATGATGGGGGTTTCCCCTCTCATCTCTTTCCCAAATTACCAGCCAGAACTAACCCTCTTCTTTCATAAAATCCAATGGGAGGTCCCAGATTGGGCTAGGATGGCTACAATATATACTACTTATGCAATTCTAGTGTTGCATCTACCCTGAAGAAGAAATAATCGTTATTCATTTTCATATCTGATGCGGGAACCCAAATGCTTTGAGGCATCAGTGAGAGGAACAGTCATTGCAATACAGTGCAGGCGGCAGCACTTTGTCATAGACTGCACTTTGGTAGAAGTACCTCCTGTAATCAGCATATCTTGCAGCTCTGTGCGGCTTCTCTGTAGAATAGTCATACTGTCATTTCTGTAGTTCACTTGCAGGGGGGAAAGAGGCAGATAGGCTTAAAAATGTTAAGAATTACCAGTGTACAAAGATCCATGCAGAGCATGGGGAAGACCTTTTGCTATTTAAACAGAAATATGAACAGAGAGAGATGGTTTGTCTTGAAAACAAGACCAAGTGGATTGCTCTACTGCAGCTGTAAATTCAGACTGGATGGAACTGGAAAGAGCTGAGAGAATCAACCTGTAGTGCAAGGACATGGGAAACGGAAAAATGAACATGTGATGTACAGGCTAAGCCAAAGTTTTAAATGTATCCATGTCACCACAGCCAGCCACCTGGGCTGGCACCCCCCATTATCATTTGGTCTAATGATAAGAGGGTTTACAAAACACGATTTTCACAAAACTGAGCTATTTATGACAGCTCTCATATGTGCAATACACATGCCACTGTGATAGGACAGCTAATGTGAACTTCTCTGATACACTTCATCTCATCAAGGCTAATGAGGATAGCCGTTACATGTGTTCAGAAGTGTCCTTGACTTATGGCAATGCCCACATCTCATATGGTTGCAATCTTCCTTGCATGTGGATATTTCCAGAAGAATTTTTTTGCAGATTAAAAGAAACCAAAAGCTTTTCATTTATGTTTCTTATGGAAATTCGAAGTAATGGTTAAGTTGCCCTGTGTATGGGCTTTTCTCTTAATTAACAATTTTGCATATTCATGTTAAACCTGCCTTTTTTTCCTTTGCCTTCATTTGTAGTTAGGTTATTTAATCATCTGCAAATATGGATTATAATCTCTTTTGAGAAGAACCTACATGCCCCTTACCACTCTGAAAAGCATAGGACACTCTGAAGTGCCATAGAATAATGGTACTTATCTTAAATTGCATCTTTTTTGTATGTCCTTAATCTTGCACCTCATCAGTAGTCTAAATTCAACTCATTCACTATTTAATACTACCTTTAGAGATGGGCTAGGAAGTGGAATGAGCAGGTCTCATAGTCAGCCTGAGAAGTTGCCTGGTATTTTGCTTCATTTGCCATGCTTCAGCATAAGGCATACAGATTTCCATTTTATGTGCCTTTGTGGACACTGTTGGTAAATTCTGACA